ACCTCATAAGCAACACAGAAGCAGGGGGCATTAGTTTTTAATTGCTCCAAAAGCTGCTATTTTGCAAATTTATTCTGTAAATGGTTTAGCCTCTTCAGGGGGAAAAGATAGATTGGGCAGCATTGATAAATGAGAAAAAGTTTGTCTAAAAACACAAATGCATCAAAGTTCGTACTCATGGGGTAGCATTCCTAGTTCCCTAAGAAAACATAGGATCACTGTTTTTATGGGACAAGGGAAAAACGAAACAGTTCCTCATATTTTACCCCTTTTAAGATTTTTGAAATCTCGCATACAAGGGAACAACAACGGAACGCAAGGGGGGAGATCGTAAAGATTTTTTAGCAAATCTGATAAGGCTGCCTCTGAAGGGGGGACCTTTACCTAGAGCACTAGCACGAGAACGAAGGGGTGCAAACCATGCTCAAGACATGTACATGGCCATTGAATAAGAACGCATCAAGGGAACACGAGTTAACTTAAATCTAGGGGCTGTGTCGGGGTTTTCATCGGGAAGGAACGTGAGGCTGATGACCGGGGCCCAGTAGCCTGAGAGGGCGAGTGTCGACATTCACTAAAAATACACTTGACGGTATGGAGCATAATGGCAAAGTAAAACAGAACAAAAAAGGCAAAAAAAAAATGAACAATAAAATGTATAAAATTCTAGAATTGAAAAAAAAAAGATATACAATAAATTTTGCGAAAAATGTCTAAAAAACCTGCAAGAGGAAGAAAACTAATTTTAAAAGGGCATTGACCAAAAAAAAAAAATTTACTTGAAAAATACAATAAAATATTACTGGAGACTGAATAAATTCAAAAAAAAACGTCTTTACTCTTTCTAAAAAAAATTTTTAATTAAATTTAAATCAATGGAAAGGGAAAAAAAAATTAAATTTAAATTTTTAACTGGGGAATTTAAATATTTTCTAAAAGGGATAGACAAAATTAAAATATAATTTATAAAAATATCAATAAAAGAAAAAAATTTCACTGCAGAAAAGTTCAACAAAATAATTCATTTAAACAAGTGCAACAAAAAAAGTGTAGAAATAATTTACTGCAGGAAAAAAGTGTCACTGGGAAAAATCAGGTAAAAAAAGAATTAAAATTTGAAGATCAAAAAAAAAAAATTAACTGATTAACACTTTAACTCTTATTGAAAATTTAAAAAACAATTTACTCAAAAAAGTAAGAAAACACTTTACGTTTTAAAAATAATTGAAATTGCATCAAAGTAATTTGTTCAAGAATTAAAAAGATAATAAAAAAAAACACAGGAACAAAAAGGGAATTAACACTTACAGTGACAGCACCCTTCTTTAAAAAATATTTTCAACAAAATCCTGCTGTGGATACAACAAAAACTTGCTGTGACGAATGACAAAATTTGCTGCAAAAAATGGGACACAGTCCGCGAAAAAAAAGGGAAGGAAAAACTGTTTGGGATCAAAAAAAAAAAACACACATAGAAATAAATGGATAATTTTTTATACTGGGGTGAATTCACTGCTGAAAACAATGCCTACGGAGAATACAATGCGAAAGAATACAATAAAAAAAAAATGAATCATTCACAAGGGGGGACTGATGGACACTACAAAAATAATACTTTCTACAGACAGGAGTAGCATAAAAAAAAAACAAGAAAAAAAAATTTAAATAAAAGAAAACACTGAAAAATATTGTAAAAATTTTAAAGAGTCAAAGAAAAAAAGAAAAACAAGGTTAGAGTACACAACAAAATTTTCTTAATGCCACACACCAAAAATCTTTAAAACAAGAAAAAGTCCAAGAAAAAATACTGAAGTCGGGAGTAGTAGACGGGCGGGGGACAGTGATGGTGGGCGGTGGGGTTTCCCCTCCCCCCACACTGTTTCGTGAAGAAATGTGCTTTTAGGGGAACTCAATAACGGCTTTTTCGGGGCACACACAAACTCTTGACCATTTTGTGAGCCAAACAGTACTAGGGCCCGGGACAAGGGGCAAACAACCCGTAATGATGTCTGGTTGTGGGGAAAAGAGTGTGGTGGGGGAAAAGTGGTGGGGGTGACTCCCTGGGGACTGCCGCGCCCCCCCTCTCCCACGAAGGTGGTTGATAACCCCTCTTTGCCACAGAATGGGGAAAACCACTTTACACCAAAAGGGGGCACAAAGCGATATGACCAAAAATTTAAAGGAAAATTGGCTTACTTCTTTCTGCGTGGGTTTTCTTCCTCTCTCATGGGTTAGAAGCTGGGGTTTCTGACTGGGTTACCCCACGAGAATGCTGACTGGAAAAAACGTGTTAAAGATGCACAAAAACGGGGAGAGTTGGATACGGGACAGGGTGGATGATGGGACTGGCGTTTTACTTCCCCAGTCGGCTTACTGACTGGCTTAAATTTCAAAATGGGTCAACCCCTCGGAGATTGAAACAATTAGCACACGAACTAAGCCGGAAGCTTGAAACGGGTGAACAGGGGTTGCGGTGAAAAGCGTGAGGGGTAGCTGGGGCTGGGGGGGTGTGAGGGGGCGGTGGTGGAGATTACCTTTTACCCTGCCGGGACTCACAACATCTTAAACGCCTTGAATTTCCCTTAAAAACTAAACCCGCTCCACACCGCTGTCACCATTTATCATGTGGGGGTTTGTACTGGATTAGGGGAAAAAATACTCACGTGGGTGTTTTACGTAAAATTTCTGTTTTGGGAGGGAGCCCTTGCCACCGTACCATCCCTTGTTCACCCCTAATACTGATAGCCGCTGAGTACCCTATGTGAGGGGGGGCCTTTGAACTGTGAGGTCAGACAATTGAATTAATATGACTCAGGCAGAGCTTGGGCGTTGAGTCAACGGGCGGTTTTCTGGTAACTGGTTTCTAACTGAGACTGTAACGGTTTCTATACTGAATTATGGAATGGGGATCGTGATGAGGGAACCATTTGGGTTATGTACGGATCAGTGATGAGGTAAACCCCTGCCTTATGGTACTGGGATCAGTGATGAATAAAAACGTTACTGGACGGGGGATAGAGATGAAGTAACCACTGGGTTATGGTACTGGGGATTAGTGATGAAGTAATACTGGTTTCTGGTATGGGATCATGATAGGTAACCACTGGGACTGGTCTGGGGATCAGTGAGAAGTAACCCCGGGTTACTGGTACTGGGATCAGTGATAAGTAGCCACTGGCTTTTGGATGGGGAAAATGGAAGAAGAACCCCTGGCTTATTGGTACTGGGTAATGATGAGGGAACCCCTGCTTTCTGGGACTGGGTACGTGAAAGTAACCACTGGCTTACTGGTACTGGGTATCAGTGATGAGGTAACCACTGGCTTACTGGTACTGGGTACCAGTGATGTAATCACTGGTACTTCACATCCACCATGATTTAGAAACAAAGCAGGTCACGTGGCAGTGTCCTCGCACGAAGACAAGGGATGTAGAGTAGCAATACACAAATAACCCGCACATGGCGGTGAAAAGCTTAAGACGATGTTTCAGTCCGATTGGGCCATTTACAAAGTCACTTTGTAAGTGGTCCAAATCGGACCGAAACGTCGGCGTAAGTTTCTCTAACCCATGTACAGTATTTTGAATTATTATTCTTTACAGTAGCAGGTGTATGGAACATATACAAACTTATACACAAGTCTGGCGGGCTTTTAGTCCAGCCACTGTTATCATCGTTTGTTTTTATACGCATTGCCCAGCGTCAGTTTCTGAAGGTTCTGTGTATACAGGTGTTTACATATTTTAAGGGAATATTACACAAGCCTGTAGAAAAGTATGTTTAACAGCTAATAAATCAATGAAATGAATAGCCGTGGCACGTCTGGCAGTGAGGTGCTTCAGTGACTATGTGCAACGTCCAAATTTGCATGCAACTCACGTGTTGTGAGGACAAGGATGGCATGCATATGCAACGTAACCTTGTTGGGCAGAGAAGGAAGTCTCTACTTGACAATCAGAAATTCGAGTTAGATTTGCATTTCAGTGTAGACATTACAAATGGATGTTTTGATGCATCTCACTTTTAACGAACGACTTGTTGCTGTTTTTCAACTTGCATGAATGTATTTTAGCGGATTTGTAAAAATGTAACAAGTAGTTTGGATTTAATATAAACTCACACACCAAGTAACGTTGTATCCTGTTGCCTAGTTCTGGAGGAATGTAATCTCTGGCACGCTGGTGGGGCACGCTGGTGGGGCACGCTGGTGGGGCACGCTGGTGGGGTACGCTGGTGGGGTACGCTGGTGGTTCACGCTGGTGGTTCACACTGGTGGGGCACACTGGTGGGGCACGCTGGTGGGGCACGCTGGTGGGGTACGCTGGTGGTTCACGCTGGTGGTTCACGCTGGTGGGGCACACTGGTGGGGCACGCTGGTGGGGCACGCTGGTGGGGCAAGCTGGTGGGGCACACTAGTGGTTCACGCTGGTGGGGCACGCTGGTGGGGCACGCTGGTGGGGCAAGCTGGTGGGGCACACTAGTGGTTCACGCTGGTGGGGCACGCTGGTGGGGCAGGCTGGTGGGGCACGCTGGTGGGGCAGGCTGGTGGGGCACGCTGGTGGGGCAGGCTGGTGGGGCAGGCTGGTGGGGCACGCTGGTGGTTCACGCTGGTGGGCATGTTTTGTCTCACTAAACTTCTATAAATAACAGACATAATTTATAAGAACAACATCTCATGTTCATGGTTAGTCATGCTCATTTAAAACGTAAGTTAAAATCTTTGTGTTGTTTATGGGAGGGTCAAAATGGGACCAGGAAACGGAGGTGATGATTCTTGTAAATGTTTATATGTGATCCATAGATCAACAGTAGACTTATCGAGGATATACACCCTCAAGAACATTGTAACGTGTCGTGCATTAAAATCTTTGAGATATACTACAGAATGAGAAATGGAATAATTCTTGGCTGATGTGTACATCTTATTAGCATAAACCAGCAAGAAACAACGGCTATTCGATTTGTTTTAATTGTCTGTTGGTTTAATAAATATTATCCAATGATGCAAATGATTTTTATTAAAAAACAAGTGTATGGTAACGTTTTAAAACCATTACAATCACTAGTATCACACGATCATACAATGTATTAACCACCACAATCACTAGGATCATACAGCATTAATATGTTACATACATGTCTCACACAAAATTAAGTAACCTTCATATATCATACTATACAGTACTCGTATTACACAAGTATACATGGAAAACAATATTAGCATGATTACTGTTTTCTGATTACATACAAAACGCTAACCAAGTACATTCAAAATAGTACTCCTGTAATGTGCTTTGAATCTGAGCACACATCAAACAAAAAATACATTTGTACATATCTAGAACTACTCGTGCATGTACACATCCAACTTACGCTCTACAACACTGTCATAACGACATACATCCCATCATATTCATCAGAAACATTATATACATGTACATCATGCATATAATGATAATTGGGTGTCGGCTGTCAAAGGGACTTGTTGATAGATACTGGGATTGTATACGTATATGTATGTGTAACCTTTCTTGTCTGGAAGGTTGGATGGTCCGCTGAGTTAGAAGGCTATCAACTACACGAAGGTCATCAAGTTTGCATGTGACCTGTACACTAACAATGGAGAATATTTTAAACTTTATAATTGGGATTAAGGTAAACTCTTAGTGGATGTATACTGAGGGATAAACACCTCTCGATGTCTATACCCTTTTTTGATCATTGTATATAAAGTACGACATGTACATCACAGGACGCATAAACTTGTGATTTTTGTTAAATAAAAAACTTGTCTTGATAAATACATTTACGTAAACTAACATGGTAAGGATATTTTTTTTTATATATTTTGCCCCAAAACTAACTTATCTAGTTTTGTTAAAAATTTACATGTAGTACAAATAATCCTAATATATCTATGATCTGCCTAACATTAATTAGTATTATATAAATCAACGAAATATTACATAATTTCGTTAGGTTCAGGTTGATTTTAGCGATGATGTACTGTAAATCAGTTTAAGGCCACAGGTTCTGGCTATAAAGTTCGACCCAGATATCACCTTAAGTCACATGTAGACATCACATTAGACCACTTAGACAGACTTCACATTGTCACATACTGACATCACAACGTTACATATAAACATCATTGTCTCATAGACATCACACTGAGTCCCATTTAAAAAATATATTAAGTCACATATGCATACTATTAAAACACAGTATAAACATCACATAGTCACACAGAATCACACAAAAAAGGTTCGTTTACACCTTAATTCACATTACAGGTCACATATAAACCAGTGTAAACCTAACATACAACTTACACTTATATTACCATGGTGACGTGCGATAATTATATATTTATTTTTTGTTAATGTCCCACTTGGTTGTTATCGTGAATATTTAGTGTTCCCTTTGCTATAAAACTCGGTATTTAGCATCTACTTTGGCTGTCATCTTTGATGTTTAGTGTCTCCCTTGCCTGAGATTTTGATATGTAATGACCCACTTGTTTGTTATCTTTGATGTCTTATTGTCACCCTTAGCAGTCATCTCTGATGCCTCAGTGTCAGTCATGATTGTCATCATGTGTTCTTATCCATGCAGGTAACTATAACGCCTAGACTTCTCTCCGGTGTCAAAGAAGACAGCTTTCTTATAGTTGCCCCAGATAAGCGTGAGAACTTTGCTAGTATACAGGACCAAGTGTGCATTTAGGATGTGTAAGTATCTAAAAATATATCATGTTTTCATATAGGATCATGTGCACTCTTCCCCTAAGGTACAATCAAAATGTACTATTATCGACACAAATTTAAAATTCTTTATATAAATCGTCACAAAATAAATATAATTTAAGTAATGTATAAAATATTTGTATATAAAATATTTATGTATTATTAATGTTTAACGTGTAACAAATCGCTAAGTCTTTTATTTCAACATGGAAGTTTAGATATTAATATTTTTTTGCTACATAAGGCACTAGTAGCTTAGCTAAAATATTTTTTATACATTATTCCCTTGTGGGAAGTTTAGACATTAATATTTTTTGCTACATAAGACACTAGTAGCTTAGCTAAAATATTTTTTTATACATTATTCCCCTGTGAATCCGTGTATCATCATAGGGTAGATCTGGTTTCTGAGCACAGCTACAGTGCATTTATTGGCTTAAGCAATAACAGATCTGAACTCCCAGCACATTAAACTGCACCTATAGATGGTTTCAGGAATCGTCACCTCCTCGTCAGGGGTAGAGACGACCAGCAGAAACTCGTGTGACACAACGATGGTAAGGGACGATATGCCAGTAAATTGCTCTTATTCTTCATCGAGACAAATAGTACGAACTAATCTTTCGGAGACGACATAAGGGTCAGCGTTGGAAGACGGTCTACGGTCTTCTAGGTATCCGGTCCTCTCTTCCGCCACGCCCCGAGGAATGCGTATGGAGGCGCCTCTGTTGGCCACTCCTGCAGAGAAGTCGTGGATGGAGGAGGTCTCGTGACGGCCTGTCAGACGTCTCTCGTTGTCCTTGCCCCCATGGGGGTCGTAGGCCTGGATGTGCTTATCGTGAACCTTGGCCATCTTATCAATAGCACTCTCGATTTCCAAGATGCCATCTGGTTGACGCATGGCTTCAGTGGAGAAGTTCGTGTGCATTCCAGCGCCGTTCCAGTCGCCAGGGATGGGCTTGGGGTCTAGGGATACCACAACGTTGAAATCTTCAGCGACGCGGTGAAGGAGGTATCTGGCCATCCAGAGGTCGTCGCCCATAGTGATGCCTTCACAAGGACCCACCTGGAACTCCCACTGTGCTGGCATTACTTCTGCGTTCTCTCCAGAGATGTTGATACCTGTATAGAGGCACGCTCTGTAATGAGCCTCGACCACGTCCCTACCGTAGACCTTATTGGTTCCTACGCCACAATAATAGGGACCCTGAGGTCCCGGGTAGCCATTCTTGGGCCAACCTAACGGATGTTTGTCGACATCTAGAAGAGTGTACTCCTGCTCCATGCCGAACCAAGGGTGTTGGTCAGCAGCCTGTTTCATGACCTCCAGGCACTTCCAGCGCTGGTTTGTATCAGTTGGTTTCTTGTTGTATTTATATGTCTCACACAACACCAACTTGTTGCGTCCCAGCCTGAAGGGGTCCCGGTAAATAGCTACTGGATACAGATACACGTCGCTGTTGCTGCCTTCGGCCTGGCCAGTCGATGACCCATCGAAGTTCCAGATTGGTAACTCTGAAAGGTATTGTTTATTTTATCCAAAGCATAACTATTTCTATTGGACAAAATGGTCCTAAGGCTTCAGTCTTGTCAAATTTAGTAACAGCAGAATTTTGCTGACAGCTGTTTAGCCTTAAAAAAGTATGTCAGAGTTAGATACATTAAGGTTATCAACTTTTCAAGCCGCGTTCTAGTTCTACTAATACATAAACTATGAGCTTACCATTGGGATCTTTGGGCACAAAATTAAGTGTCCGAGTCTTGGAACGGAGGTTCTCGCCAGTTCCATCTACCCAGACATACATAGCCTGACACTTCTCATCGGGGATGGTCAGCTTCATGTACCGGTCTAGCACCGTCTTGTTCATTCCTTGGTGGTGATACATCTTGATGATAAGAGTATCTGAAAGTTACACGAGAATTTAGTAAATATTTTCATGTGGTTATAGGGCGATTTTATTATACTCCAAACAGCACAGAGGCCTTTGACATATTAAATTCAGAAAAATGTAACACCTTTTGTGTGGTTTATTATTAATTATTATTATTATTATTATTATTATTATTAGTAGTAGTAGTAGTAGTAGTAGTAGTAGTAGTAGTAGTAGTAGTAGTAGTAGTAGTAGTAGTAGTAGTAGCAGCAGTAGTAATGGCAGTAGCAGCAGTAATAGTAATATTATTAATATTGCCTTCCTGAAAGTAAATAATCTCTGCACCACCTGAAAGTCTTGCCGCAGTCAGTCCGGTGACAGACATGGAGTTTATCATATCAGTTCAACAAACAACCCCTTTCACAATCACCAGTGCATGTACACGTGTTCCTTGTACCACTTTTTCGTACGCCTTTATCTTGATATACCCTCCACTAAGCCATCCTTGCACCACAAGTGATAAAGCCAGACCTAGGTTTTTGTAGTTATTGCAATCAAAACTAACCTAACCTATGCTAAATAAATTAATCTAATTTGAAAAACGAAAATACAGTTTGGAGTAAGATAAGAATCGTGGTATTTTTGACGTTGAGTAAAACGTCAGCTATTGACGTTTTAAAGCGCACTAACCTTGTAATTCCTAGATTTATTTTCGCTTCCAGTTAGAGAACTTATTACCACTTACATATCACTTCATATTATAGAAAGAGGTCAGAGAAATTTTACAGGAAAATGTCTTACAAATATGTGAGTGTACACAAATATTTATTACAGTAAAAGAAAATATGGGGAATATACTGTTAATGGCACAGCACCACTTAGACAAGATACTGGATAAAAGGAATAATATATCTCAACATGGGTATATTACAATGATCTATTACATTAATGTGGGAACTAACTTACACTAAATTGACAAAAAGCACACGTACAATAGTCCTTTAGCACCTGTTTCAGTAGAGGAAGAATTGACTTGGGTACATGTTCCACAATCACTCTCCTTGCACGTACATTCACCATCTACCCTTTCTCACATATGGAATTTTGTGCAGGGGACAACACAAATCACCTAATAACCCAGCCAAAAAGGCTGCAATCGAAGACAGATTCCCACTCGCGACAGCATACTCCCACCAATTCAAAAGTCAAAATTGCCACCAAAAGAACACCACACTTTTCATGTCCTACAGCATACTATAAAAATACACGAAAACATAAACCCTCCACTTAAACTTCTAAACCAACCAAAAAGGGGACACACGACCATAACACAAGACAGACTTTTTTTTGATGCACCCGTGCCCAACCACGTGTAAAAACCCTATGCACTAAAGGGCCCCAAAATCGGAAATTCATTCCCAAACAACCAAGTAACCGGCCTAAAAAATAAATTTTTAAGCCCCCTTCTAAAAAACCATTACCGCCCGGACAAATAATCAACACTGAATATTTAACATTACCAAAAATTTCCCCCCAATTATTTAAAATCTTAAAACTTAAAGCAACTACATAAACTGACATCTTGTTTGTTATACATTGAATGAAAAAATTTTTGTACAACTATAATGTTTCAAAATAAAAATTTTTTAAATTTCATTGTTTCAGATACTCAATTGACTTTAAAATTAAAATGTTTTACTGTAATTTTATCACTAAATAATCATTGCTTAGTTAATTTTAAGTTAATTTAAAGCCTGCCCATAATGCTCTGCATACAAGGGGCTTTTGACATATACACTCAACTACTAAATTCCTTTACCTTGATCTGTCCACAAAACATATAAGTCCGTTACCCCCCGGTTGGGGGGGTGACGGGCTGTTAGTGTACACAATATTCCAGCCTAGAGAGAAACCCAAGTAACTTACAAAACATCTTTGGGCTTGGCATCTCCTTTCTGAAGATTATTGTTATTATCCTATCATTTTTCCCTGACTTTTTTGTCGTTGTGTTCAATTTCAGTGTTTCCATTTTTTTATAAAATTCTCTTTATTTTTTTATTCATTTTTAATTTTAATTTGGGTTTTGGTCAACACATTAGGTTAAACTAAGCTGGGTTGGGGTTTGGGATAGGTTCATAAATATAAAATTTATATTAACCAAAATAAAAAAAATTTTTCAGAGGCCCAAGATGCTCTGGCCACGGACGCAGAGCAATAATGAAAGGGGGATACAGTTCTGTGGAAAGGGTTATTCCCGCGCTGCGCACTTGTCGCTCGAATGACCAAAATTTGGGGTGCCCTTTTTTCGCGTTGAAGATTTTGTGAGTGTGGCACAGTGTCTTTCAGCATGATGGAACATCATCAATCCCAAGTCCTGGGGGGTAACCAATAGCTTGACAGATCTCAACGGGGCCCCGGATTATTGAATACAAAAATATAAAATCCAGGTACCCATTTTTTTTTCCCACGACAATTGATCACTGTCATAAAAAAAAAACTACAAAACACTAGACGACAACGAACTATCTTTAAATTTGAAATTTTCAGAAGTGTATCCGAACGTGCACTGTCGACAGTTTTGAACGGTGACTGTGACAGGTGAACGGTGCACGTCGACAGTGTTAACGGTGCACTGTCACAGTTTTTAACGGTGCACTGTCAACAGGTTGAACGGTGCGCTTCGACAGTTTTTGAACGGTGCACGTCGCAGTGTTGAACGGTGCACTGTCGACAGTGTTAAGGTGCACTGTCAAACAGTGTTGAACGGTGCACTGTCACATGTTGAACGGGGCACGTCGAAGTTTTTAACGGTGCCTGTCGACAGTTTTTGAACGGTGCACTGTCGACAGTGTTGAACGTGCACTGTCGACAGTGTTAAAAGGGTCACTTCGACAGTTTGAAAGGTGCACTGTCGCATTTTTTTAAGGGTGCACTGTCGCAGTGTTGAACGGTGCACTGTCGACAGTGTTGAACGGTGCACTGTCGACAGTGTTGAACGGTGCACTGTCGACAGTGTTGAACGGTGCACTGTCGACAGTGTTGAACGGTGCACTGTCGACATGTTGAAGGGTGCACTGTCACAGTTTAACGGGCACGCGACAGTGTTGAACGGTGCACTGTCGATAGTGTTGAACGGTCACTGTCGCCAGTGTTGAACGGTGCACGCACAGGTTAACGGTCACTGTCGACATGTTGAACGGTGCACTGTCGACAGTGTTGAAAGGTGCACTGTCGACAGTGTTGAACGGTGCACTGTCGACAGTGTTGAACGGTGCACTGTCACAGTGTTTGAACGGGCGCTGTCGACAGTTTTAACGGTGCACTGTCGACATGTTGAACGGGCACTGCGACAGTGTTGAAAGTGCACGTCACAGTTTGAACGGTGCACGTCGACATTTTGAACGGTGCACTTCGACAGTGTTGAACGGTGCGCTTCGACGGGTTGAACGGTGGCGTCGACAGTTTTGAACGGTGCACTGTCGACAGTGTTAAACGGTGGGGATATAGGCATTGGTAGCAGAGCCAATTTATATTGGTAAAATGTTTCGCTTTCTTAGATTTTATTAAATCAAGATTTAATAAACTTAACGAGCAAAGCGTTGTCCCTACAAAAGCTTATTTCTAACTTTGGGGTTTTTTTCTTTAGTTTCAGAATTTTAAATCAACTAGCACTGCAGGTATTGGGTACCCAAACTAGGCTGCATCCGGCCCACTCTGACAAATACACTCGGAAACTACACAAACACACAAGCATTCCTGTTCGTGTAGAGACTTTTTCACAGCATATAAGTAGAAACAACCCAGACTAGTTGGAGGGAGGAACATAAAAGCATATTATTTACAATATCCAGAAGTTCTAAACATTTTTTATTACCTCTGCGGGGGGTAACAAAAGTCCTTATAAAAATAAAAAGATGGGAAATGGGTAACGATAGATAAAGACATTATGTAGAAAGCATCACAAAAAGGAAATGTGTGAAAGCAGAACGGGCCACAAAAATATTGTTTGTGATCAAATGATTAACATCAACAGTATCTAGACGCAATTAAAAGACAAAATTTCCACCGAAACCAGGTAAAAAAAAATCGTGAGAAACTAGAATGCGCCTGGCGAATTTCAAAAGGGTTTTCGAAATAGGGTGGAAAATTGTTAAAAAATTTGAAAAAGGGTGGGACTAAATTTGAATAACAAAGTTTGTTGTTCACCTAAAAAAAAAAAATTAAAAAATAGAAACCAAAAACCTGCAAAAAATTACCGAGAACAAAAAACCATTTACAAAGATTGAAAATCAACACATGTTTTTAATTGCGAGGAAAACAAGGGGAACAGAAACCACAAACAATAAAAGAATGCAAAAAAAAAATTATTTCTTAGTATCACCTACATGGAAAATAGTGCCAAAATTTGCACAAAAGCATCAGGAATGAAATGACCTGACAGCGTTAGGGCCGGAGGATCCATACATGGTTTCGTTTCAGTTTGACTGACCCGTGTAGACCCAGCTGGTCTTAAAATGGGTGACCCAAAAGTATGCAGTTTCTACCAATAGTATGATAAGGCAACCCACCAAGAGAGAAGAACCGAGAGGGGCTAACGAGAGGGGGGGCCGTATAGTTGCAAATATATTTATATGCACCCCATGCAGCTGCCATGCAACAGGGAAATTTGGCAATTACCACGAACGCACGGGGGATACATAAGGCTCTTTAGGGAGGGAGAAAATGAACCCATAACGACCACGAAAAAGCGGGGGCCCGGAGCTGTGAAACGACCCCTGCAACCACGATAGGTAACACAAAAAAACCGGGCAGCGAAGTGGTCGAGGCAAGAACATACAAAACTTTAAAAATGGTCTGAAAAGGGGTCACCAGCAAGGAGAAACCCCAGCGGTTTGAGGAGAGGCAGGGACAGGAGCGCAACCACAAATGGACAAAATTTCGTTTTATATACAAAGAGAGGAGAGAGACGGCGCAGACGCAGGGGGCGCCGCCTGGTGACCAGCAACACTGATCAGTGTGCACCAACCTCGCA